CTTCCTCTTTTTAGGGTACATCGACACACATATGGAACAAAATTAGAGAGCAAAAAGTTCTAACTTCTCCCCTCCTTTTGAGTAAGGGCCTTCCCATGGCCAGCCATGGCTGGTCTGCATGTCCTTGGGGATCTTCAGCCTCTGACTCTGCTCCTCCTAGACCTCTCCCTCCCACTCACTCTATTCCAGCCATGCCAGCCTCCTTGCCATGCCACAGCACACATCACGTTTGCGGGGGCCTTTGCTCCTTCTGGTCCCTCTGCTTATGATGTGCCCCCTCCTCATCTTTTTTTCTGTCCTTTCCCCCAGGAATAGAGGCTCCCAACACCACTGAATATAAATTTCACAAGCAGGGATGAAAGGGAGAAAAAGACAATAACAGGGCAAATGGGCACTCCCAGGTGTTGCTGGCAGAGGAAAATCCCTTTTTAGACGGTCATGCTTTAGGAGCCTAAACGTTGCTGAGCACTCTCCATGCTGGTACAGATGGTAGCATCATACTAACAAAGATATAGAGTCCAGACTGACAGAGCAGAAGGGCTTCTTTATGTTCCTCTGACAGGAGCCATGCTGAGTTTGAGGGGACCCATTAGAAAGGGACTAAAGAAGCCCTAGCAAAGGTCTGAAGGAGGAGGCAGGATTGCCACACAGGTAAAGGCACTTGCCACCAAACTTAGCCCAATTCAGTCTCTAGGACCCACATGGTAGAACTGACTTCTACAAGTTACACACACACACACACACACACACACACACACACACACACCACTATGAATAAAGCAAAAGTCCTGACAGCTGAGGAGAGGAAGAATAGGTAGATATGAGAGGAAGATTCTTGCCAGTAAGGGCATTCAGAGACAGTTTCTTATTTATATTTTAATTTAAGCATTTATTTTGTAATTCTGGGGATGTTAGTCAGGGCTTTACACATGCTAAGCAAGAGTTCTGCCTTGACCTAGGTCTCTAGACATGATCTTTCTTTTATTTCTTTCAACAGTCTACTTATTCATGTATGTGGATGTGGGTACATGAGCACCACAGTGTTTTAAAGCTCAGAGGACAACCTGAAGGAGTTGGGTCTCTCCTTCCATCATATAGATTCTGAAGATCAGCCTCAGGTCATTAGACTTGGCAGCAAGGTCCTTTATCCAATGATCCATATTGTTGGCCAGACTTCCTCTTTACTAAACCCATAGCTCCCTTGGTTCTTGGCTCCCATCTGCTTCCTGCCCTGTCTCCCAGTCAGCTCCCATTTTGTTCCTCCAAAGCCTGCCTGGTGTCACTCCAGAAACAGATTGCTGACTTGAACGTAACGATGCTCCCCTCATGCCAGCCACACACATCAGAGCTCCTCCAACCACAGCCCCATCACACACGCTCCATCCAAAATCCACTGAATTCTCACCCATCCGAACCCCCATTGCATCTGGAATACTCAAGCATCTCCATTCTGATCTCCTGGCTCCTGCCATCACATCACACCCACTGTTCTGTTCTCCAGGATCAAAATAACATATAAATTCCCTGTTGAGGCCTAGCCTTCTATCCTGCTATCCTCTAGACTTCAAGGTGTTTGTTTGTTTGTTTGTTTGTTTGTGGTTGGTTGATAGGTGTTGGGGCAGAGAAGGGGGGGTGGAAAGAGAGAACACAAGAACATGACTGTAGTGCCTGAAGAGGCCAGAAGAGGGCATGAAATTCTCTGGAGCTAGAGTATCACCAAGTGGCTGTAAGCCACCTTGATTGGGGGTGCTGGGATCTGATCTCGGGTCTCCTGCAAGCAAGAACAAGTGCTCTTACCAATGAGCAATCTCTCCAGCCCCCATTGGAGCTCAATGTTCTTTCATGTCTCTACTAATTACTCCTCCAAGCACCCGGCAATGTACTTGGAGCCTTGTATCTGCTGATCCTCTTTGGTTTGGAATATTGTTCCTCTGCCCAGTCCATCCTTAGCTGAATCACCGTAGCAGAATTTTAGCAGAGCCATTCTATCTGGCATGAATTCCAGAGGGCTGGCACCTAAGCTCTGAAGTAGCCTTTTATCGATGGTTGTTAGCTGAGGTTTTATGAGGTTGTTCTCAGAACCTTCACATAACTTCGTCTAGAGACACACATGCCAGGGAAACTAGGTATGTATGGCTGCGAATTGCTTAGGTAACGGCTCCTTCGAGACAAACTCTAGATTAGAGGTTTTGATACACAAGAAATGAACTTGCTAAAAGTGCCTTTTGTGTCACAATTAAAAGTGCTTCTAGGAGAACGTGCATGGCACTGACCTAGGCCGTCTTCACATGTGTAACAGTTGTGCAGCTGGGTCCTCACGTGCGACTCCTAACAGCAGGAGGAGGACTGTCTCAGATTCTGTTACCTTCCTTTAGGTCCCTTTCCCCTAACTGGGCTGCCTCGGCTAGCCTCAAGAGAAGAAGATGCACCTAGTCCTACTGCAACTTGCTATGCCAAGGCTGGGAGGGTCTCCCTTTTTCTGAAGAGAAAGGAGGGGTGATAGATGGGGCAGAGGGGTGGGGGTGGGGAAGGACTGAAAGGAAAGGAGGGAGGGGAAACTGCAGTCTGGATGTAAAGTAAATAAATTTTTAAAGCACTTCTAGGAAGTTGCAAGCATTCAGCCCTTGAGAGGCTGCTTGAGAAAGAATAAATTCATCCCAGTGTCTCTCTTCAATCAAATCATCCCATGTAAGCCAGAACACAGACAACTGTCACCCACCCAGGATGACTTCCCTGACTCTCTCTGGGCCAGGCTATGTTACTGCACTCAGTTCTGCCCTGAGGCATGAACTCTGCAATACCCCTATGTTAACAGACTGGTTTCATCAGACACTGATTACTAGCCAGGCATTGTTCTCAGGTCTTTTAACTATACGGGATGTTTAAATGCTCTTGGTCCCATTTTACAACTGGGGAAAATGAAGTAAAGCCACTAGCCTGAGGGCTACAGCGCTCTGCAAGCCCAGGCTGGAGACATGAGCAACCTGGGGCACCCAGGTCACAGGGCAGCATTCCCCACTGCGGTGCTTTCTTGGGTCATCCCAGAGTGGGAGGAGGGGCCTTTACTCACTCTGTCATCTTTATAAGCCCAGAGGCTACTTTGCTAAATGTTCACTCCCTCCAAGGCACTGTGCCAACTAAATGTTCCCCCAACCCCTCCACTGGCCAATGGCCTTAGGTTTGGAAGTGGATAGTGTTCTCCTTATCTCAGAATGTGCATGGAAGCCAACCACAGGTTCTCAGGAGTGTAAAGGGCACTGAGATTCTCAAGTACTGTCAATAGCTATGGACTCATTAAGGAGAAAGATACTTCAGACCCATTTTCCAGATGGACAAACAGAAACTCAGAACCCTTTCCTGCAGCCAGGAGTCCCCAGCTTACATCTATTGCCTCCTCTCTCCTTGACTCCTAGAAACAATCCCCTTTGGGGGTGAGCAAAGTAAGAAGGTAGGGAAAGAAGGTTTCCCCCATACTCCCTGCAACCTGGCTGGCCTTCAGAGAAGGCTCAGACAGGCTGAGTGATGCTATTGGAATTTCATCCAAACAGCATTTATGGCTGGGAAGAGGCCAGCTGTAAAGGATGTGGGGCTTCCAAAGCAACTTCATGGTCTGAGATTCCTTTCTTGGGGATCTCCATCCAACCAGCATGTCCAGGTCACCCCACTGGAGACCACACTGGTGCCAAGGACTTTGACTGGACCCAAGGAGACTTCAGAAGCCCTGTCTACCACATCCCCATATCAGCTCAAAGATTTTTGCAAGCCCAAGGCATGACTGGCTTACAGAACGAGTTCAAAGACAGCTTAAACATGTTAGTCAGATGGTCTCAAAATAAAACCTAAGGGCTAAGCTGATGATAGCTCAGTGAGTACAGCGCTTGTTATGCAAGTACGATAACCTCCGGGTTCAGTTAAGAGACCCTGTCTCAGAAAATAATGTGGAGACTGGTAGAGGGAAGCATAAGAAGTCAACCTCTGGCCTCCACATACTTGAGCTCACACACACACACATACATGCACACACATGTATACACACATATACACCACATGTGAGTACACATACATGAAGGAAGGAAGCAAACAAAGTATTGCAGTGGTGGAGTGCTTGTCTAGCATGAGGCCCTAGATTCAACCTAGCGCCCGCCCCACAATAAAATAAGGCTCCTTCCAAATTCTCAGAAGTGCGGCTCTGAAAGCTCCACACAGATATTCCTCGCATCTCACTTCCACACAAGCATGAAACACAATTCTTCTGAGGGGAAACAGAATTTCTAACTTACTTCTTATCACTTCACACACCTTTCATCAGGATCTCAGCCAGTCTCCGGGGCTCTCCTGGTGTCTTTTCAACTTTCTCTACATAGGGCAGGATCTTCCTCTCAAGACACAGTCTGTTACTTGCTGCCTTAAGCATGCCTCGTACACACAGCCCAGAGAGTGGAATTGTGGGCTCCTTGTCGTCTTCCAAATCCTGGTCAACCACACCCTACCTCCTTTCTTCCCTGTATACACTTCAGCCTCTTTTCTGGTCTGCAAACACACCAACCTGGCCCTTTCCCTAGGATTTTGTTGCCTGGGCCCAGAAAGCCTCCATAGCAGGTACCATCAAGACAAACTGCCCCTTTCCCTCAGACACCCTAGGCTCCCTCACAACAGTCAAACCCCCTTCCTCCAGTATCTGGATAGTGCTCTACATACTCCCTTGTTTCCCAAAGGCCGAGTCTACATGGTTCCCGAGTCAAGACCCTACTGTGTCTGCGGCCTTCGCCAGTCGGGTCCGTAGCACGCAGCAGGCGCTCCGCACCAATTCTCCAGTAACAGACACTCCTGTGGCGCAGTGCCTGTTCACAAGTCCAGATTCCCCGCGTCACGACAGCCCCCATTCTCTCCCGCGCGTTTTCCAGATATGTCCACCACCTGCACCTGCGCCATCAGGGACACCACAGCTCTCCGGAGAATGCAACCTGAGCCCCGACCAGATGGGAAATCCTGAGAAATACCTTGTGGGAGGAATGATGGGAAACTCAGTGACCGTTTTGGCTCCGAGCTGGGTTGCTCTTAGTCCTGGAGGAGAGACAGGAGAATGTTTCGAGGGTTAGCTACTAGGGTGGCGCCCCCAGAGAGGGACACTTGCTTACCTGGTGGTGCAGACAGCAGGATGCAGGCCGAGGCGGTGCGGAGGTCAGCTAACCCGAAGATGCCGTAGACAAGCCGCAGACCGCCTGGGCCAGAAACTCCTCTCTACAAAGCTCAACCGCGAGAGAGGAAATAGGACCGAAGGGGGCCTCCGGGAGGGGTTGGATGGGGCCTTGGGCGTGGTCTGAGCGAGGGAAAGAGGTGTGGCTTCAGTGTGCTCCGGCCCAGTGCGATCTAAGACCCCTGAACCCTAAACTGCCCAACCCGCGGCCTGGCCTCGCCCCCACGCCACCAGGCCCCTCCCTAGATCCCGCCCTACAATCGTTTGTCGCCTCCAGAGCCCGCCTTCAGCCCCTAATCCTGCACCTTGGGACCCTATCTCCAGCCGACCCTACCTAGAGAGGAATCAGCTTCGCCCTAAACTATTACCAGCTTGCTTAGAGCTTCCAGGCCCCGCCCACAGCCCCCACCCTCCGCCGCCAGGACCCGCCCCCAACTCCACACTACCCTTGGTCTGCCGCTCCTCACCCCAATCCCTGCTTTCAGCCTCTTTCTCGAACTGCCAAGGCCTGGTCCCAGCCCAGTCCGGCCTTGTCAGGCCCCGCCCCGACCAGAGTCTCTTCTGGGCACCTGGCCTTTCTCCAGGCATGCTGTAAGTTTCTGCGGAGCCTATCTCTGAGATTTTAACCCAGCAGCATCTACTGGGCACTCTCTCTGGCTTCTGCTTCATCTGGTCCCCGTTTTCCAGCTCTAGGTCTCTTCTTTGTGGTGCTCTGGCTTGTCTTTCTGCCTGCACTCCGTTTCTCAGATGCACTGCTAGGCTCTGCAGAGGAAGCTTGGATCATTCCGCAGGCCTCAGCAACCCAGTACATAAGTACTTGGAGTCAGTCAGACCAACCTAGAAGATTGCTGGGCGAAGGCTCACCAAGAGGTTGTCCACAGGATTGAGAGGGAGAAGGGAGATCACATTAATATGTCAGCTGTGGGTTTGTGGGGTGCGAAGGTCAGGGAAGATCTGAGAGATGAAACTAAAATATAAGTTAGTGTGGGTGATAGCTGTTGACACTGTTTGGCCCAGGATAATTCGGAAGGATAGTGAGCCTCTCCTTGCCTAGTACAACCAGAGGAAAGACAATTCTAAGGCAAGAAGTTAGCAGTAGAAGGGAAGAGGCTTCTAACGGCTTGTCATTTTTGAAAAAGAAAACGTAAAATAAGGACATCAAGCCCAGCTCAGATGGGCTTGTCTAGCATACAGGAATTCCTGAGTTTGATAAACCAAGGGTGATATATAGATTTCAGATCCCAGCACTCAAGAAGCCTTGGAAGCCTATCTGAGCTACAGGAAACCCTGACTCAAAAAAAAATAAAAATAAAAAATAAAAAGCCACTCTTTGTGGGTCCCAGGACAGACCCAAGGCCTGTTAGAGGAAGTTGAGATATTCCTACTCAAGGGATCCTGTCATTAGGAGTCCAGTTTTAAGTCACTTCCTCAGAGGGGCCCATCCCTGAATGTACCACCCACTATAAATAAACATACATGCATTTTTTTTTCTCCTTGAGTTTTTGAGTCAAGGTCTTTCTTTTGACAACCCTCTCCCACACACACACACTAGCCTCAAACTCAGCAATCCTCCTGCCTCTGACTCTTGTATGTTAGGACTGAGGGTATGCACAACTAAGTTGGGGTAGGGGGGTTATATTTACCTTTTATTCTCTTCCTGTCTCTCTGAAATTTGTGTTGCTTATGTGGAAGAAGAGTGTCACACAAGGTATTCCCAAGCACTCGGTCCATGGGAGCCTCTTGTATTGATAGTGACATGGAAATCCAAGCCAGAGATCCGCAGAGAAGTGGAGGATTTGAGTGTGCAAGGGCCATGGAGAAAGTTTAGTGAAGTTACAGCCAAAGTTGGATGGCTGAAGAGGAATTCGGTGTCAGCTTTTTATTTGCATGCCTAGGCCTGAGCCCCACCCTGGGAGTAGTTAAGTGTTCTTGGAAGAAGCTACTTCTGGCTCGTTGGAGCTGAGTAAATTAAAGGATTAAAAGAAGCATCAGCTGACAAGATAACTCAGTCTGTCACCAAACCTGACAATCGGAGTTAGATACCCAGGATATGATGGTAGAAGAGAACCAACTCCCACAAGTTGTCTTTTGACTTCTGTGTATGTACTCACACATACACATGTTTGAGAAAAATCAATAAATGGCAATGTAATTAAAAGTGGTATCAGGGGACAGCAGTGTAGGGCCCTCCACAGAAATCTCACAGGGTTCTCTAGGTAGAGGTATAACCCATTTTGGACTTGGGTTGCAGGAGAGGAGCAATATGGCAGTGTGGGAGATAGGGCAGTTTGTCATTCTGGAATGACCCAGGGGTTGTCAATAGAAGGAAGATGGTATACCCAAAAGATTTAGAAACAAAATGGACAGAGTTTAGAGAAACCGAGGGAGCTGTGCCTGGCTGGCATGAGATAAGAAGAGCTTTCTAAGCTGGTGAATACAGTATGTATTGTCTGGGAAGGGGAACCCTAAGGCTGGATCTCAAGCTTGAGAGATTGAAGCTCCCACGTTTTCTCTTGCAGACTTTCTTTTGCTGCTTTTCAGTTCTTCTTCACTGTTATTTTTATTTTTGAGATAGATTCTCTTATGTCTCAAGCTGATCTCAAAATCCCTATGTACCTGAGGATGACTTTGACCTTCTCATCTAACGGCCTCCACTAATCCCTCAACTCCGAGATTGTAAGTGTGAGCCACCATATAAGGTGGTGTGTGTGTGTGTGTGTGTGTGTGTCTTTCCCAGGACTTCCTACATGCTTGGAAAACACTCTCTCACTGAGCTATACCCTATCGCTAGCCCCCACCCCAACACACACACAGACTTTGACACCCCGTGTAATCTTCCTACTCATGTGAGGCTCAAATGATTAAGGCAGCTACTAAGTGTTATAACACAGGAAGCAACTCTGCACTGCTCCCCTCCATCTTAATTACTTTTTTGTTGCTACAATAAAACACTCTGACAAAACCAATTCGGGAAGAAAGCATTTATCTTAGCTCACGGTTCCAGATACACATCGCTAAGGGGAAGTCAGGGTGTCAGGAGCCTGAGGTATCTGGTCACATTCCATCTGCAGTCAAGAAACAGAGAGTGTTATATGCTAGTGCTAGGATCCAGACAGCAGTGCCACCACAGTGGACAATTCTTCCCATTTCAATCTGATGAAGACAACCACTGGCATGCCCAGAGGTCCCTCTCCCAGGTGATTCTAGATTTCATCCTTCATCAAGTCGATAATTGAGATTGACAATCACAGCCTCCAACTAGGGGGTCTGAAGTAGACACCTATGCTGATTTTCTCCAGAACCTGTGCTCATTGTGGCCAGGCTTGAAGACTGGACCCTGGTACCCACAAATCCTAGGCTAAACACAATAAGAGTTATTCAAAACAGGTCACTGTCTTAGGGTTTATATATTGCTGCAATGAAACCAGTACCACTTGGGTGACTCATACTACCAAGTTCTGCTACCAGCATGAGGAACAACCTTGGTCACCTCTGGAACACAGCTTCTACACTGCTCTCAGGAAATGCTTCCCAGAGATCTCACCTCAATGATGTTAGTCTCTTTTTATCACCTCTAATTTCTCAGCTCTAGCTAACCAGCATCAAACGTCCCGGTAAAACAGAGGTTATACTTTAGTGTTCTGGTCTCTTGTTAATCACGGCTGATTCTTCAGCTCCAGCTGATCAGACACTGCAGATTCTTCACACAAATGACTCAATTAGAGTCTTTGCTACCCTCTGAAACTTCATTAGCCAGCCATCTGTCTTCTGCATTGCCCTCAACATTTTTACAAGCTCCTTCAGAACAACTCATTGAACACTCAATGGCTTTTCTTGCTCAAAACTCCAAGGTGCATCCACAATCCTGCCAATAACATAAACAGATCTGTCACAGCAATATCACACAATCCTGGTGGCAACTTGTCTTAGTGTTTCTATTGCTGCATGAAACACCATGACTAAAGCAAGTTGGGGTTGTAGTTCTCCACTGAAGGAAATCAGGACAGAAGTTCAAACAAGGCAGGAACCTACAGACAAGTACTGCTTACTGGCTTGCTTATCATGGCTTGCTCAGTCTGCCAGGACCATTAGCCTAGGAAGGGCACCACCAACAATGGGTTGGGCTTTCCCCTGTCAATCACTAATTAAGGAAATGCCCCCACAGGCTTGCCTTCAGCCTGATCCCATGGAGACATATTCTCAATTGGTGCTCCCTTCTCTTCTTCATACCAAGTTGACATAATAGTCAAGACAATCTAAGATTTTCCTGACTTCTGAAGTCAGTGACTATGTTACGTCAATTTGATTTTATATTTATTAAGGAGATAATTATGTGTCACAGCCTATATGTTGGGGTCAGAAGGCAGCTAGCAAAAGTCAGTTCTGACCTTCCTTCTACCCAGTGGCTTCCAGGGATTGAATTCAAGTCATCAGGCTTAACAGTAAGTCCTTTTACTACCTGATCCATCTCATTGGCCCTAAATGTGTTACTTCTCATGATAAACAAGATTATACATGGAATAACATGAAAGACTTTAAGAAGGGAGATGACTCAGGACCATCTGGGGCCTGGGGTTACCACAGGGTCCTCACTGTGTTGCTTACAGTCATGAGCCTGAGTCTCAGTGTCACCTGCTGAATATTAGAACCCAGGCCAGACTAAACTCTGCCGTAATCATGCCCAACAGCAGCTAGCCTCTCTCCTCCCTCATAGCTGATTCTGTATACAGGCCTCAGGCCAATAGACTGCACATTATCAGTGTCTATCTGTGACACAACCTAAATGACAGATATACATCAAAGAGATGGGTCCCTCTCCTTACTCTCCATGTCCGGGAAATTAAAACAGCTTGACCACAGCTCATGCTGTGGAAGACATGGTATAAACCCTTCCTGTACCTCTGAAACCTGTAGGAAGTCATGTCAACTCTCCTCTGTGATCCTAGGCTCGCCCCAGAGCTCCCATTTGTGTTGTCTTCTTGTCCATCCTTGGACTTCAATGCAGTGAGTCAGCGCAGTTTGAGATTGCTACCCTCCAACAAGGTAAGAAGCTGTGTTGTTTTCTTTTTCTAGTTTGTCTGTATATGTATATGCACATGGTTTGGTTTTGTTGTTGTT